GGAAAACCACTAAACCAAAAATCCTATATATCATGTAAGAATTCAATAGATGCCTTATTGTTTGCAAAAATATAAATTATGGCTGTTTCTCCCCACCCATAAGAGTAGCAACTAAAAGCTCTGGAAGTCTTTATTTGCTTTTTTTTTTGGTAAAGATTTTACTTATTTATTTGAGAGAGAGAGAGCAAAAGTGAGAGAGCTTGCACAGGAGGGGGAGGGGCAGAGGGAGAGGGAGAGAATCTCAAGCAGATCTCGCACTGAGCATGGAGCCTGACGCTGGGCTGATCCCAGGACGCTGAGATCATGACCTGAGCTGAAACCAAGAGTCAGGCACTTAACCAACTGAGCCACCCAGGTGCCCCCAAACTTCTGTTCTTTATTCAATTTAGGTTACATGCCCATCTTTGGAACATTAACAGCGACCAAGGGAAGACCACACAGTGAATCAATTACTGATAAGAATATGGGATTACTAGATTTGGTTAAGAACAGTGGTCCTCAAATCTTAGTGTGATTCAGAATTACCTGTGGAACCCTACCCCGACATTCGTAATTTAATAGGTCGAGGATGGGGCCCACGAATTTGCATTGCTAACAAGTTCCAGTGATGTTAATGATGCTTGTTTGGGGACCACACTTCGAGAATCACTGGCTTAGACAAATCATGATCTACCTCAGGAACTGGGGATGGAGTTGGCTCCCCTGAGCCATATGGGCTATATGTGGGAGGGGCGACTATCTGACCCAAGTTGAGGTCCGGTTTAGAAAGAAGAGGGTTGAAATGAAAGATCAGAAGACAACCAACCGCAACTCCTACAATTGTTTAAGCAAGAACATGATAATGTCATAGAATTTATGCATTATTAAGGATGCAAGATAGAAGAGTAATCTAAATTAGGAGGACATGATAACATGATTATAAGAACAAAGAGTTTTCAGTTTAAGATTACACCATAGTTCAAATAATCAGATCTTTTTAATCAACAGGGATGCAAGATGTAAGATTTCTAAGGAAGGCGAACACAGAGTTGGATGGAGTCTCTAGACAGAAGAGTCGTGTTCCCTCTCTGGATCGCCTTTCCTGGCTTATGGAGTCATTATTGTCTCTGCAAGGCCAGTGTGTAACTGAGAGGGCAGAGCCATAAGCAATTTGCTTAAATCCTTCTCGGGATGGTTTTTAATTAGGGTACCTTATATAGGTGAGGGTGTAATAATGGAATGGTTGATTGGTCAATCTTTGTATCATTTGTATCTGCACCCATTTGTCAAATCAGAGTAAGAGAAACAAAAAGGTGTTTCCCAGAGTGTGCTCCTTAAAACTCCCCGGTGCCAAGAGATGCTATGAGATACTACGAGGATAAGAGTTTTGTAAGCAAATGAGTGTAGGAGACTTGAGCTTCCGTACGCACATTAAAGGGTTAAAAGCTCACAGAAATTCTCCAGTGGTGAAGCCCAGTTGGTTTTGTTTTAACACATTTCCCAAAGCTATTTGGTCACAGGAGCTTTT